GGTGGTGGCTTGAAGCCATAGGTGACAAAATGTCACGGGCAGAAGCACCAACTTCAGTGCTGGCTGGCAGCTCTACATTCACTGACTCAACCTGCACACACAGCGCCTCCACTGTTGGCTGGAAGCAGATGGACAAACAGGGGCGAGCGGCTATGCACTTAAGTTTCTATTTTCCAAAACAATGTATGTACGATGCAAATAAGAAAGTGCATCCCGTCTCCCTAGCTCTTCACAGACTTGAATATTTGATAATATTTGAGTTTTGTATATACTATATTCATTGTGAGTGAAACTTTCAATTTTTCGAGTTGTGTACACAGTGGACACACAGTGCACACGGAGGGCCAAGAAGACAGTGTATACAGTACTGTGCACATAGAGGGCCTAAATAGGCCAAGACGCCTTGTCTGAAGGCATCGTCTCAAAGAAGACTTTCTCAATGCGTTGCTTTTCTTGTGGCCCAACTGCTGTCTCCTGAAATGGGCCCATGTCTCCAGCATGTCTCCAGTGCCCAGCATGTCTGAAGGGAAGACTACCCATGTGGCTCAAGACTCCAATGCAGGGCGCCGGGCGCCCTGTTCAGAAGCAAATGGGCCAGCTCAAAGTTAAACGCGTTGCAAGAGATGGCCGGCAGGAAACTCAAAACTCTAGCGCCAAATGCGCTTTGAGTGCATTCACTGCACCTACTCCTGCAATGAACAACTAGGACTTTATAACAGCATGGAACCCCAGCGATCTTTTGTTCACTCTGAAGATGTTGGCCAGTTGCCAATCAACATGCAGTTTCTTGGTTTGCAAACGACTACTGGAGTCCCGGCGTCAGGAACCCAGAATTCTTGTCACTGCCCGCACTCCCCGCTCAACGTTTCACCGGCAAATTGCAGCTTTGCTTTCGCTCCAGCCTCCAAGCGGCGCGTAGTCTTCCACAGGTCGAGAAGCTCAGCCAAGTGTTGTTTTGCAGTCTGTCCTCGGAATGCAAGTCGAACGCTCCTATATAGATCTTTCATGATCTTTCAAGTTATTCGGTTCAAGCACTTTGGCTGTAGATGTTGTAGCCAGTCTTACAAACCGCGCTTGTTAGGAGGTTCGCCATGTACCTTTATGCTTGTCATGCTTCTTCCATTTCTTCCATCTTCTCTTGGTGTCCTTTCTCCACTCGCTTCCCAAGGCTCGAGAGCTTGTGGGCTCCGGTGAAGGGGTGCGGCTGCCCTTGAGTTCTTGCAGGTCTTGGGGGAAGAGTAGTTCGTCCTCCTCATCGCGCGGTGTCTTGGTCAACTCCGCCTTGGGGACTTGTCCACCTGCAGGCGACAATCTTTTTCAGGGTTGAGATGTTTGCTGTGTGTCAGTCATATCATATAAGCCAAACCTTTTGGAGGTCTAACTTGCCGCTTTGGGAAGTAGTGGCCAGTTGTGCGCAAACAAGGTGCCCCTGAACTGTCCCTGCCCCTTCCCTATAAGGACGCTCCCTTCCCTTCTTCCAATGCTCTCTGGTGGGGTGGTCTTCTTTTGCAGGTCGGGAGGTGGGTGGGTGGGTGACGGAAATGTTCTTCAGTGTGTGGGTGGAAGCGCCTTCTTCCTGAGGGCGGGGAGTTTTCGATTTTTCAGAGTGGGGTGGGTGAAGAGCGCTCTTGAGAAGAAACTCTTGCCATTCTCACCTTGGCCAATGTTTGCTTCCAAGGCTGCTTTAGTTTTATCGGATTCTACATCGAGCTTCCTCACGGCAAACGATCGTACTTCTTCCTGCCTGCACCGGTGACAACACCTTGGGACCCGGTCGGGCGCCCAAGGGGTCCACTTGCAGCACTCGCCTCGACATGTCAGTACAATGGACAGCCCAGCATGCAAACAAAAAGTCATGAAGTGTTTTCAGCGAGGCTTGGAGACTTGTTGTTACTAGTAATGCACTTGTTACTAGTAGCGATGCCCTTGTTACTTGTAGCTTCTTGCTTCTAGTAGTAATTTCAGCCTTTACAAGCAAAGCGTACTAGCGAGACTCTGAGAGATGAGGTACAGGCATCTATCTCCTGTTGACCGCGATGCAGGTTCTGCTAGGCTTGAGTGGGTATTTGACGATTGATCTTGAGTCTTAATAATGAACAACACGAAAAGGAATATAAAGGGCTTGTTCTTTGCGGCAAACATTGGATGAAGCCCATGTAGTTGCGAATTTGACAGCTCTACAATATGGTGGAGAGGCAGTGATGACTCTGGGAGCTGATCTACTGCCGTGTCAAGCCGGTATGTTCCAAACAACTCATTTCCCGAGCACATGAAGTGCCACAATTCTCAACACACACAGAGCTCTGGAGGCTATTGCAGGATACCAAATTGCATATTACAGCCTCTAGCTACACCGCATAGACGTCCGTCTTGATCAGGTAGTGAAATTACTGACAACTCGATACAAAGGCAACATCCAAGGAAAATAATGAGTACACAATATCGGCGTTGAATTGACACTGTAGGTGTAAAACAACAAGTTAAACTGTATGGAAATCTTACAAACAACGCCATCGTCCCTCCGACCGGCCTTCATTTCTCTAATGGGAATGTCTATCCCTTTGCGCTTTGGCACACCTTGTGGCATCGGCAACTGTAGTTGCGTCACCGGCAAAGGAGTGGGCGCAGTAGCTTGGGGCATGATTCTCACAGCCTCCATGGGGCGTTGCATCCAGCTTGGTGCGTAGACTCGTGGCGCTTGGTCCATGGCTTTCTTTTGTGGAAGGGCTGACACAAATAAGTCGTTTGAGTACTGCATTGCAGCCAATTGCACACATCCATCGCAGGACCTTCCCCAACTACTGCATGCTGTCTTCCACTTTATCGTTTTTGAATTGGGCCCTTCCTTTACTGTACGCAATTGCATTCGTCGTCCGGAATCTTCGCCCTAATGCAAACCGTCCACATGGAGTTTCGAGAAAGCATCACCTCCTCCAATCACCTCAATTCCTTTTAACATCTCCAAATTCTCAAACACTCTTTCCCTGAAGCAGCTCGTTTCAACCCAAGCAAAGGACATCGTCTTCCACACCCCTTCTAACATTTGCAATGTTTCTGAAGCAAGGGGTACCTATCTTAGAAACACCAAAAAACACACGATGCTCCTCAATGCCTTCAAACTTCAACTTTTTGCGCAGGATCTCATGGATCCACCGCTACGGACCACGCCACAGGTGGGGACACCCGTCCTGCCACCTCCCGCTCAGGGAAGGGTGTGTAAATGGGTGCTAGCATGTGCTAGCCCATATTGAGAGTGAGACAACACTGAGACAACCAACGCCACAAGGATCCGTGAACATGTACATGGCATGTACCCGCATTATCAAAACACAAGACAAGAACAATGTCAAAGCTGTGGAAGTTATGAAGAAGCCAAACACTTCTCACTCAATCTAATGTAAAGTTTGATAAACATGGCCTCCGATCAGTTCCCGGGATCCTGCATGCTGGGATATCCGCGCCTCACATGTTGTCGTAAAACTCCTGGTCAAAAAGAGGCGTAGCAGTTGTTGGATGATGTCATTCGAGATCCTCACTTTTTTGAAGTCGTGGGATTATAGTGCAAAAACTGGTGTACCCAAACACCACCTTAGTGCAAGCTCATTTACATGGTTTTGAAAGGTCTGGACCAACTGGGGTTGCTCTGCAGCAGGAAGAGTGGGGGCATGAATTCACCAACCTTGATTGCCAGACTTGGTTTTGTCAGTGAGAAAAGTCAGGTTTAGGTCGGAAAGACAAGCAAACCACATGAAGACGCACCAAAGAAAGGACATTGTAAGAATCAACAAGACCAAACCTACTACAACGAGAAAGTGATAGAAAGGCTGCCCAACAACTACAACCTCATCCTGAGCTGTAAGGTTACTGTAATTGTTTTTTTTTTTTTTTTCCGAAGGAATCTGCCAACGTTCATCAATTTTCACCAACGTAGCGTGCAAATGTTGCTATATCTGCCTCTTAGGCTCGTCAACCTAAGATATGTTAAAAGCTTTTGTTTTCAGGTATGCTCCGGTCACCTTCGTCTTTCTGAATACACTGCCTTTCAATTCAGGACAGAGCTAAACTCATGGTAAAGTGGTCGAATACAGAGCAATTGGATGCAAATGGAAGGGATCGACCTTCAACTCACCAGAAACATCCATAACAAGTACTTGAAGCTGCGTGCCAGACTGCGTATGTTCGCTTCTTAGTCAACAAAATGCATTTTCTGGTCATATACTGAAGAGTACGTATCATCGTGAGAAGGCCGCAAAGGATTAGGGAAGCGCATAGTGGTTTGCAGAGTACTTTGTAACAGTTGCAAGTCAAAGACAGCGTGCCAAATCGCACAGTAGGATACGGATCAAATTCTTCCTTTTTGCGTGGCAATCTTTCTTCGCCAACTTTCCAAATATAACATGTTGCTATGTTGGGATTTCAGTTTGGGCCAACTAGAGTCTGCCTTTGAGCCACTGCACATCGTTCAAGCACTGTTGCCGGGCTGGACTGAAACTGTGAAACATGAGAACACTTTCAAGTCTTGACCTTGCGTTGCAGACCCTGCGCCCAGCAGCCCTTCCTGCAAAATGCGCAAGTATCGGGATGTGGTGTCCTGAGAACACTAGGTGAGCTCAGAACCAGCGGGTGACAAGACAATTCTGCAACGGCAGGTGAGCTCTTCAATCATGGACCGTATACTTGGATACTGTATTCAATTATGATCAATTATGTTCATATCGTATCTGTAGAGAGCTGTGTGCATAATTACAGTATATAGGTACAGTATATTTCGCTTGTTTCCCGGCTGAGGATCAACCTCAACAAGTGGCGAATCAAAACACATTTGCAAGCCTGGGTTGACATGATATTGCTTTTGCTAGACTAGACACCACAGGGCAACATTGAACAAACAACAGTATGAACGAGGCCATTTGGCCATCTACAGTAGAAGGTCAAACATGTAAGGTGCTGAACAATTGGCCTGCACGATGCTTCCTCAGCCACTTTTCCATAGGAAACCATTCATGCAAAACAAGAAGATCATTCTTCCACCTGAGTGTCAGCTAGGGTAGGTGGCAAACTTCATGGAATACACATGTTCTTTGAAGAATTCTATGATCTCAAGAGCCTCAGGTTTGCATTCTCAACTATCCCTTCCTCCACTTGCTGACATTCCTGGCGCAAACTTTGGAGCTCACCACGCCTGCCCAGCAATGGGCGTGCGATATCATGGCGAAACAAGCGTCCAAAGCTTGTTCATCCACCCAAGCACAGGCAAACACATTTGAGATGAATGCTCCACGTTGATAGGATGGTGCTTGGTTGGACTTCAGTTCGTATGTATTCGATGGAGATAATGTAATTAGTAATTCACTGAATTATGAATCTGTTCAATACAATAAACAAACGTGACGAGCAAGGCCAGCGTCCGAATTTGTTTCAATTGCTGAAGTAAGATCTTAAGCTAAGTTGAATGTTGATGCTTACCGTTCTGTGCTGCAACAACATTTTTTGCGACTGTCTTATTGTAAAAGGTTTCGTCATTTTCTTCCCGCCAAGGCTGGCCTCTTCTGCGCTGTCTGCCGCAAGGCGTCCAAGCGAGCCATGAGCACATCCGCATCTGACAAGCCACAATTATGTTTCCGGCTTTAGTTGCGTTTCTTGCTTTTTGGCAGCACGCAGAAACAAGCAAGAGAAACCAAGGAGATCCCACAAGGCCAGAGTCGGTGACACAAAGTTGGAGAGGCAAAGTAAGCATTTTTTGGACAACTTTGCATGTTTCAAGCAAATCAAATCAACTCTACACTGCCTTCAGTCGGTTCCGCACGATCCTCTGATGCTGCCTCACGGGCTCGCCCCAAAGCAAGTGGAATCCTTACTGAACACTGTCGTACACATGGTCGCCTAAGAAAGCTGTTACAGAAGATTGGCATTGTCACAAGAACCTGAACTTGGTTGGATCCATTGAATTTTCTTTTTATCTCAAAAGAACCCGCCGAATGCTATGAAAGAAAATTATCTCCAAAGAGACATTGAGATTGCTGGCTGCTAGAGTTTCAAACGAGTTGGTGACTCTAACCAAATATCTCATGATACATCCAACTCCGTGACTATTTGCGACAAAGCGAAACCCGCACGCCGCACAGCTCGCATATGCAGCGCAATGTCCAAGCCTGCAATCCTGAGCCAAAATGGCATATATATATATACACAGTATATATATATATGAACGACCAATGAACCCATTAAGCAAATGTGGCTAGTGCAGCTTGCCATGATACTTAGATATACCTAGTGTATTTATTGAATTTGAACAAATAACCCTTTAGCCGCTGAGCGACTGACATCACCAATGACGAAGGACTGTTAGAGTGACAAATTGACCCTTGCGGCCTTTGTGCAGCAGGACTTAAACAAATTCTGTGTACTGTGGCAGCCTAGGCTGTTGCAATATGGAGCGCGCAGGGGCGCATGGGGCTTGAACATGTTGAACTAAGAAAAACGTAAAGTCGTAAACATCCTCAATATCAGCGCGTGATCATGTTTTTTAAATCACAAACCATAACTGCGCCAGCCCGTGTTCTATATTCGGTCGTGCGTCTGCTGAACGAGGTCCACGCTGCCCTTGTACCAGAGCGCGTCAGCTTCGCAGGGGCCGATTCAGGCTTGGGTGTGCTTGACGTTGTAGCGTTCGGCGATGAATGCAGGGACGCACACCTAACTTGGAAGAACACAAAACTTGACTTTGGCCAAACATGCCGCTGCTGCAACCCAATTATAATGCTGTCAAGATGCGCTGGTGTAGGCTCACGCTGCCCTTGGTCCTGTGGCAGCTGCAATATTGAAAATTCACTCACGGTCAACCTTAAAGTATTTGTCTACATGTGTGGCTTGACGTTGCAGCACCTGCCTTTGGCGCCAAAAGACTCTCTTCTGAGTGCAGCTATTCCCGAGTCGATAGCATCCGAAAGTCCTGCCGTGCTCGAAGATGTGACCAGGTGAGCTTCTGCTGCTGCCGCCTGACAGGGATTTGTGGGTGACAATCCATCCCCGACCTGTAGGTGATGTCCTGAAAACAAGACGCCTTTGCCAATGTCAGTATCACTTAACTTTGGCCATCGTGGCCTGCCTTTCAGCTGGTGCTGCCTTTGGCTCGCGCCATGAGAAGTGGCCGTTCGTGGTGCGGCTGGGCGGCGCTGCGTTGGTTGTTGGTGGTGGTGATGGTGGCTGAGGCGATGGATGGAGTGATCGTACGCTCTGCTGCCGTTGCCGCTCTTGTCGCTGCCGCTGTGCCTCCAAAGCGGCCTCCGCACGTCGCGCAGCATCCGCAGCTGCAGCATCACTCCGCCAGGCCGGCGGGTGGGCGGACGCACGCGCTGGAGGTGGCTGGAATGGCGGCGCAGGCGGCTCCTAGGCAGTTGAGAGCTTCAGTGCCTCCAATCGACATGGCAAAGCGTGTCCGCGAACGATTGTGCGCTGGTACGCTGGCGGTGGCTGCGGTCGCGCTGGTTACGCTGACTACGCCGATTATATACCCTGATTACACTGGCCGCGCTGGTTGCGCTGATTGCCCCATTACGCAGACTACGCTGGTGATGCTGGTTACGCTGATTACGCTGTTTACGCTGGTTACGCTGTCTACGCTTGCCGCTGCTGGCCGATGCTGTTTACGCTGGATACGCTGGTTTACGCTGGTTAACGGTGTAAACGGTGTAACGGTGTAAACGGTGTGAACGGTGTAACGGCGTAATAACCGGGCTAAAGGTGTAACGGTGTAATCGGTGTAAACTGTAAACGGTGTAATGATTGGTGTAGACAGTGTAAACGGTGTAGA